GAAATATTCCCAATTGATAAATTTTCTAATTTCAGCAAATTGAAACGTGTAACGGCATATATTTTACGATTCATCTACAACTGTCGTTTTCCTGAAAAGCGGAAGAGTGGAGTTTTAACAGTGAATGAATGTGATCTTGCTATTTTGTCTCTAGTAATAATTGTTCAAGAACAGCATTTTTCAGATATCATAATTCATCTGAAAAATTATAAGCATAATCAATTGAAAGGAACTATTGCAAGTTTAAGTCCATTTTTAGATCATGATGGTATTCTGAGAGTAGGAGGGAGACTGCAAATGTCTAAATATCCCTATGAAAAAAGACACCCAATTTTATTGTCGCCTAAACATCATTTCACCAAACTGTTGTTTGCTTATAAACATTTGAGACTTTGCCATGCAGGACCTCAACTACTTCTTTCTTCAATTCGAGAATATTACTGGCCACTGGGTGGAAGATGTTTAGCAAGGAAAACAGTACGTTCATGTGTGAGATGTTTTCGCTACAATCCATCTCAACCCAACCCAGTGATGGGAGTATTACCAAAAGATCGAGTAAAAATTGCACCTCCGTTTAATTTCACAGGTGTGGATTACGCCGGGCCCTTCAATGTCAAAGAAAAACATGGAAGAGGTTCAAAATCAATTAAATGTTGGGTTAGTTTATTCATATGTTTCGTTACAAAAGCCATTCATTTAGAACCTGTAACTCAAATGTCATCTGAAGCGTTTTTGGCTATGTTCAGAAGATTTGTATCTAGAAGAGGTAAACCACAAACAATTCATTCAGATAATGGAACAACCATGGTTGGTGCAAATTCAGAACTCATCGAATTGGGATCATTTCTGTTAGACTCCAACCAAACTATATCTGAACATGTTGCTAACGATGGTGTTAACTGGTTATTTTTACCAGCATACAGTCCAAATTTCGGGGGACTATGGGAAGCTGGTGTAAAATCTTCCAAATATCACCTGAAAAGAGTGATGTCAAATGCATTGTTGACATACGAAGAATTTTATACTGTTTTGACACAAATTGAAGCAATACTAAACTCCCGTCCTCTAACCCCTTTATCTTCCGATCCATCTGACCTTGAACCCTTAACTCCATCCCATTTCCTAATCGGCCGAAAACTCACTTCATAACCTGACCCATCTTTAACCCATATCCCGGAGAATCGATTATCAAGATTCCAGAGGATTCAACAAATTCAGCAGCATTTTTGGTCAAGATGGGAAAAAGAATATGTCTCTGAACTGCAGCAGAAACAGAAATGGAAGATTAATCAATGTAAATTGAAAGTCGGTGATATGGTACTCATCAAACAAGATAATTGTCAATCAATTCAATGGCCCATCGGTAGAATTATCGATATTCATCCTGGACCAGATGGTGTTGCCAGAGTAGCCTCGATCAAGACGTCGTCTGGAGTAGTGAAGCGGTCTTACTCCAAGATTTGTGTTCTACCCATTGAAGCTCAGTGATTTTTATAAAGATTTTGAAAGTGAATTGCATTTGAAAGCCCTAGTCCTTTCAAGGCGGGGGGAATGTACAGAATTTATTATCATGGATTATCGAAGTTCATCACTCTATGTATTATTCTGATATATGAAGTTAGTTGTCATGGAAAAATGTTGTTGAGAGAGAAATAATTTGTTTTCAATAAACCAAGTTTTCATAAAAATACGATTCAATTAATCAATTCATTCAAACACAAAGCAAATCGAATCAAAAACCAAAACAGTAAACATATACCTAGTATATAAGCAGCACACTAGAATAGGATATTTAGTTTTAATATTTTCCTGAAGATGCTAACATAGTTAGCGAAACACGTGTCGAGGCGTTAAAAAAATCGCTCTGGTTAGTGGTAAAACTGTGTAGTGTGTGTTAACTATGTTATTTGACAATGTGCTAGAAATAGACAAGTTTCCTTCAGATGAATTTTCATAAAATAAGTTCGGTACTCCTCAGTTTTATGTCTAATTCGTTTTTATTTTCAAAATTGAGCAATTTCAGATTTTCGGGCGGCAAACTGTGACGTACATTTTGAATCTAATCTGAATATAGCTGATGATGAAGAATATAGCTAGCGAATGGCTAACGAATGAAAAACGTATAAAAAACGAACAAAAAAAGAAGAATGCAACTGGCGTTTATTGATTATATCATGAAAAATAACGAACTAACAAAACAACTATAAGCTTGTTTTACCACTAACCAAACCATTTTTCTTTTGGTTAGTGGTAAAACAGTGTAGTGTATTATCGTGCCAAAGGTTCCAGTTTTCGATATATAGAAACATACATAACCACAAAATCAGATCAGCTAACGCGGTGTGCCTGTCAGTATTTTGTGTGGTGTGGACGAGCTCAAAGTAAGCAAGATATATATAATCTGCTACTTTCCCAGAAAATATACCGGTTTCATAGAGAAACAAATTCATTTACAGAAAAATTATAGAAAATATATCAAAAATGTATCTTTAGTAGCAATCCAGAAAATGAGTGATTTATAAAAATTATTCATAATGCTTGACAAAGCAGGATTAAAAAACCTATTATGTCCCATTTCTGTTATAATATCGGGGTTTTGGGTGATTATATCGCAGATGTGGAAAAACCCTCGGACAGGTCGATTTTAGTTTCGAGGGGGGCATTTTTTTCTCCTACATGCACTACCGTCACTGCAACACTGAGCTGTGGGGTGAACAACCCCTAATATTTGAATAGGGAATAATGGTGGAGTGGCACATCTTTTGAAAGCCCGTTAAGTTCTCTATCCAACGGCGTCCCGATTTTGATGTTGGGATGAACCGTTTGGAAAAAATTAATTCAGGAATAAACCTGTACGATAGTTGAGAGCTTTCTTGTACGTCTCTGAAGCACTCATTTGCAAGTTTTTGTAATCTAGCATCTTTTGCAACGATACTGTGAAAGTTTTGCTCAGTTTTTTTCGCGGTACCCATGGAAATATTGTGATAAAATAGAATAAACAGATAGAACTTGCAGTTTCTGTTTCTCACGTGTGTACTACAACTACTACAAGTGAGTTTCATTCGTGTGTGTGGTATCGTACGTCAAAATCAAAACGAAACAATGGTGTATACAGCGGCATAGAGGGTTGACTTGATTGACCTGTATTATGTAAACAATAGATGTGCGAAAAGGGCTGCTGAACGGTTCAATCAACAATATGGTAGGACTGTGTCGCGGCAATATGTGTCTGAATTAGTATATCGAAATTCAGAGAAACGGGATCGGTAGCAAATAAAAAACGGCAAATCGAACCGCCAGTAAGAAATGAGGCGACAACAGACAACAAGACAGCTAGCAACTGTTTTCGGTATCTCAAGAACTAGCATTCAGCGTATTTTAAAACAACATAAATTCCATCCTTATAAGATTGAATTAACACAAGAACTGAATGAAGATGATTTTGATCGGCGTTTACAATTCTGTGAAGTACTAAGTGAGCAGGCGATTGCAAATCCTCAGTGTCTGTTCAACCTTTGTTTTGGTGATGAATGTTCGTTTTTTTTAAATGGCATAGTTGATCGCCATAATTGTCGATATTGGGCTGATTCTAATCCCCATATATTTCATGAGGTACATACAGGGTGTCAATCCATTAACCACATATTCCTTGAACAAAAACAATATGAGTTTCTAAATACCATTTTTCATTTTAGCCCTTCCTATTCGATATACAGGGTGTCATAGTTGGAAATTACAACTTGTTTTTGTTTAATTACTCGCGTTGTTAATAAGATATTTTATATACAGAGTGACCCATTTGAAAGCGGGCCACCCCTGTATCTCACGTAATCGTTGGGTAAGGATCATGAAATTTGCTGGAGCGAGATATAACCAAAAATGCACTCTACAACCAAGTGGGGTCATCTTCAGTGATATACACTGCTCGCCAACAGCCATGGAACCAACCCCATTTCCTGAAAATGATATTAGGAATCAAAATTGATTGAAAATCACTTCGGATTCGGAATCAGGACGCCCAATTCACTAACTATTCATATTTTTCCTTGAAAATTTTCAGTTCTGAAACATTAAATTTTGTCGCACTTTTCATGGAAGCACCCCCGTATCTCACGTAATTATTGAGGTAGGGTTCTAAAATTTGCAGGAGGAACGAAAAGTCCAAAGATAAAGTCAATTACGTGAGATACGGGGGTGCTTCCGTGAAAAGTGCGACAAAATTTAATTTTTCAGAACTGAAAATTTTCAAGGTAAAATATGAAGAGTTAGTAAATTGGACGTCCTGATTCCGAATCCGAAGTGATTTTCAACCTATTTTGACCCCTAATATCATTTTTCGGAAATTGGGGTGGTTCCATGGCTGATGGCGAGCAGTGTATATCAGTGAAGGTGACCCCACTTGGTCATAGAGTGCATTTTTGGTATATCTCTCGCTCCAGCAAATTTCATGATCCTTACCCAACGATTACGTGAGATACAGGAGTGGCCCGCTTTCAAATGGGTCACTCTGTATATAGAAGTATTTTTCGAATTATCTTAAAAACAAATGATTTTATCGAAATTTTACAAGAGACAAAAAATACTCAAAAATGATTGAACACTTGAAGAAAAATAGATATGAAGTCATTAGCGCACGTACAAAAAAAATGGGGGTAAGTGTGTACTTGACCCCCAGTATTTTGAATATTTGACAGTTATTTTTTGTTTTGTTTTCCTCACGCGATGTAACTCTTTGTGCTGAAGTAATGTACCAATTTTGAGATTAATATCTTATTAAATACGCGAGTAATTAAACAAACAGTTTTTAATTTCCAACTTTGACACCCTGTATTTCGAATAGGAAGGGCTTAAATGAAAAATGGTATTTAGAAACTCATATTGTTTTTGTTCAAGGAATATATGGTTAATGGATTGACCTCCTTTTAGCGGACACCCTGTATATACGCAATATCCACAAGAATTAAACGCATGGGCTGATATTTAAAGAATCCAACACCTACCTCCTCTCCCTATCCTCCCTAGGTATGCACGATGTTCTTCGAACATAATAGGGATTCCCTTTCGAGCGCACCAAGCAATGAAAATAAAAAGAATGTTGAAGAGGATCTAGGTATGTCAAGTTCTGAACACTAGTCCCTGTTGCAATTTTGAACATGACTAGTGGATTTTAGAAACCTGATATCCAATATGGATGAAAATCATAAATATACACTCCATTAATGAAATTTCATGCTCCACAAAATCAGTAACACTTTTTTCTCTCAAAATTGCACTGAACGTTCAGATTATACCAAAAATCCGAACGTAGTCGTGCATTTTACAAATAATTTATTAGAAGTAAAGATAAGTGGGACTTCAAATGCAATTAGGTAATTATTAATTTTATTTGAACTATTATTCTGTGTATAGCGTCCTTATAGGAGCCAACCTTGTTAAAACAAAAATCTGTCAATTATTGGAGTCCAGATTATTGAAGTTTGCTCTCCGTATATACAAATTTTCTGTTACTTATCCACCCCCTCATTATGCATGGTTTTCAACTTTTTATATTTATAGGATCTCATGTGATATTTTGGAGAAATGTTCTCCATTCCAAGAATTCAACTACATGGGACAAGTATACAATCAAAGAAAATACTTACGTTTCAACATAGGGCCCATACTGCTTATATTTCTTATACAATGATGCCAATTTCACAGACACGATAATTGTTGGTATGAAGAGCAACACACTGATCAACAAAGTAAACCAAAATCCATTCTGAAAAACACGATAGAAACAAGTTAGTTTGACAAAATAATCTACGTTATACAAGGTGAGTCAGTCGAAATGAGTTGATTTACAGGGTGATTTACGTAGGCCACACATTAGGAGTTTTCCAACTCGCTTTTGGATTAAAAACTTGAAAAATTGGTATGCTGTTATAATCGATCATTTCCAATCCACCTGAAATATTTTAGTCCTTCAGCTATAAAAAATGTGGCGAAAGTCGGCAACAACTTTCTTATTTTAATATGAAACCTAATTTTTTTCACATGGTTCGATGTGCCTTCTAATTCTGCTATTAGATAACCTAGTTTATGTCAACTTATCTATCACAGTTTTATTCTGAAAATACTTACCGCCGTAGTACTTCACGAAAACATTTTTAACTCGCAAACCATTCAAAATAAAAGCACTTTTGTGGAACAGTCAGCAAAAAGTCCAGTACCATATGGACACAGGCGATTGTCAAATGCAGCATTGAAAAATTACCGAAAACTCAACTTTTTCAAATGGCTTCTACTATTTTTTTGACACCATATGAAAGACAATTGAATCTGACGATGAGTTTCTTCAGCATTCCTTCATTCAAAATTTCAGTGAAAATTCTCCTAATAGATAAAGCATACTACTCAGTACTTGATTTCCCATTGATAATAATATGTGATATGTGTATACCTAAAGCGCTATAAAAAGCAATTGTATAGTTCCATTGTTTCAGATATAGGTACTTCAAACTTTTTATTAATTTTTCATTTTTATGTAAATGTGTAGTATGAGCGTTGACTTATATAATCTTAGCATATCTGTGAAATGGTATACACCAACCAATTTCAATTTCAATTGTTACGAAATGGATTTGTATTGTTTCAGGTATACTGAGAACTTGTTTTCCTTTGTATATATTTTTTTTTTGTAAAATGTTCAGATATAATTATCATTTTAGCACAACTACTGTGCACTTTCCTACAAAACCTATTTTCTCTGGAAAAAATATCTTATCTTATTAAGCTATTCAATAAAAATCAAAAAATGCTTTATCTGGCAGAGAGAAATTTTGCTATTCAAAGCACCTATGCTACAGATCAGAAAACTAACCAGATGTGAAAGCTTTGATGCCGTATTTCGTATACGATGACTCAAAAGTCGTTATCTTGAATAACATCACCGTATAGAAGAAGAAAAATGTGTCGGTGATTTCACACATCACCCTTCGACCAACACTGAAAAATCACTCGCTGGGAGTATTTATTTTCAGAAAAATCATTATAAAGGGTGTCCGAAAATTGCTGGTACACAGAGCTACTAGGTGTGATACAGTTCAAAATGAGTTGATTGTACCCAACTTATTTATATAAAAAATCTAATTTTTGTGCGCTGATCAGAATTTACTGAAACAAATTGGATGAAATTTGACAAAGTTGCATTTCAGAGGATAACCCTTCTTTCAGTAATCAATGAAAACTGAAAGAAATTGAAGATGGGTTGAAACCACTCTCACCCCCTGACATTTTTTATAGGGTTCTCAATTTTTAAAGCAAGATAACTTCATTTTGTTACTTCTGTGAAAATTTCGTATTCCGCATAGTTCCGAAGAAAAAAAAATGGTTTCTTAAATAATGCTAACAGATATTCTTGGCCAAAGTTTGATAAAATTGTAATACAAAATCAATCGACAGTGGTATCAAACGAATTGACATTGTATTGATGAACATTAATTTAAAAAAAACGTTCTGTCTTTGTTTCCACTGTCAACTGAATTTTTCATTATAATGATATCAAACTTTTACTAGGAATATCTGTGAGCATTATTAGAGAAAACTTTTTTTCCTTCGGGACTATGCGGAATACGAAATTTTCACAAGGGTGACAAAATGAAGATGATTAATCAGTCATCTCGGTCAAAATATTTGTGAACTATATTATCACCCCTATATAAGAATGTTCTGAAAAAATGTCAGTGGTTGAGGATGGATTCAACCCTTCTACAATTTCTTCTGGGTTTCATTGATTAGCGAGAGGAGGTTAATCATCTAAAATGCACTTTTGCCAAATTCAATCCAATTTGTTACTCATTTGTCTCACGGACAAACGATGCATTTTGTTATATAAATATATTGGGTCCAATCAACTAATTTTGACTTGTATTACACGTAGTAGCTCTGTGCCACAGCAAATTTTGGGACACCCTGTATATAAAAATTCTGATAGATAAGTTGGCATAACTTAGATTGATATACTCAGAATTGAGGCAATCGAACCATGTAAAAAATGCAGTTTTCAATCTATACTGATATTATAAAAAACAAAGATTTGTTTGATTGTTTGTTTGTATTTAATATGCTCCGAAGATTGTAGATTGTGGTTTGTAGATGGGTCGTATAGGCTGGGAGACCTCTCGATCACTGCGACCTAGAATATCTATTGTGATTACCCTTATCTAGTTTTGGTCCTCTAACCCTAGACTTCTGATGGAGCCTAGAATTTTTCTGACGGTTGAATTTTCCACCTCAGCATGTGTGAGATAGACCTGTTCTAGGTGATCCAGCCTTTGGCGGACTGATACTTTACATGAGCAGAGTATATGTTCCGCGGTTTCGGTCGCATTGTTGCAAAAGCGGCAAGTGTCAGTCTCCACCAGGCACATCTTTTTGAGGTGGTACCTCAGAGGGCAGTGTCCTGTGAGAAAGCCTGTGATAAGCTTTAGCTCTGGTTTGCTGAGGCTGAGTAGCTCTTTGGCTTTGTTCTGCGAATGGTTGATGAACCTTTTCGCTTGTCGTTGCCTGGAGTTGCTCTCCAGTAGAACGACTTTTCACAGGTCTATGAGGGTTAATTGAAATAATGAATAGCTATATTTGTTTTTGATAGCTTCTGGCAGAGTTTTGCATGCTATCAAGAACTTATATATCGGGTTATTTAGCGCTATATTTGTTTTCACATGTGTTAAATGGAATTGATTTCTCCAAATAATGTTGGTATTACTTTTTTGTTGGTTATTTTGTATCTCATAGATATACTTGCTTTGTTCTATAGTTGTATCCGAATAAAATTTTCATCACATAATTTCGAAGAGTTCGTATTTTTTTAAATAGTGCCTGCCCACTTACAACCCAGGTTGTTTTATAAGATGATAGAATTATGGGTACACCAATCGCGCGATGCCAGGCCGGACATTCAAAAAAGAAAGTTGGTGTCGACTCTGGGCACTCCTTGTATAGTTGGAAAAATAAAACTAGAAATATTTCAGGTAGATTGGAAATGATCGATTATAACACCATACCAATTTTGAATTTGTTAATCTCACTACAAGTTGGAAAACTTCTAACGTGCGACACCGAAGAATCACAAAAAACGCGACTATTATGACATATACAGGGTGTTTGGTGCATCGTGTGCCAAATTGAAATGGTCGAATGAAGGGGTCATCTGCTATCCTTTAAGACTAGTTAACACCTTTCATTCCCTGTGGAATATTTTTAATCGTCTTTTTATCTTTTATCAAAAAAAGACCTAAATTCCACATTCAAATACAAATTTTAATAAAAGTATAAGGCGTAGACTCTGAATTTTAATTGTATTCAGATTAGTATTGTTTTAGAAAAATTTTAAATACAAAACTAGTGACATGAGTCATCTAGTTCTTTTTTTAATTTACTTGCTAAGTTTCGTAATATGTGAAACTAAAATTGAAGCTGTGACTTTACATGGCTACAAAAAAAACAAAAGCGACCAGGATCTTCCAACTCCCTCAAAAGTTCTCTAGTCTATCCTCTTGCTAATGATGTGTCACATGCCATGAATATCTTTTAACAACTTTGTAAATTTGCTAGAATTGTGAATCGAGTCACATAAGGCAGATATTCAGAATTATTATTTAAAAAATTATTTTTGTTTGAATGAAACCTGAACCTATTCAATATGTTATCTCACCCTTATGATGTAAAATTTGTCTCGTATCTCTATTCTTTCGTGGATTATTCTTGAAATAAACAAAAAATAAAATTACATTTTTAATATTGATTTCGCATTCATTTCATGAATCTCACAAATCCTGTTCAAATTGTTGGCCTCTGTTGCGAATGCAGGCTCGACATCAGTTTCGTATTTCGACAGTTGTTGTTCGAAGTAGTATTTCGACAGTTGTTGTTCGAAGTCGTATTTCCTCCTTAATGGCATTGAAGGCCGTTTCTATGCGTTGGACTAGTACCACCCTAGTTGGAACTTCCGTGGCGTATACCAGCTCTTTGGCACGTCCCAGACATAAAAGTCTAACGGAGTTAGGTCTGGGGAACGTGGCGGCCATACAATAGGGCCATCGCGCCCAATCCACGCATTGGGGAACACATTGTCTATGTTATCTGCTAGCTAATTTTCTCTCAAACAGGTCTCTCCAAAACTAGATGACTCATGTCACTAGTTTTGTATTTAAAAGTACTCCAACACAATACAAATTTGAATGGAATCAGAATTCAGATTCTACGCCTTATACTTTTTTAAAATTTGTATTTGAATATGGAATTTAGGTCTTTTTTCGATAAACAGATGAAAAGACGATTGAAAATAATCCACAGGGAATGAAAGGTGTTAACTAGTCTTCAAGGATAGCAGATAACCCCTTCATTCGACCTTTTCAATTTGGCACACGAAGCACCAAACACCCTGTATATTAGAGTGATGTCATCCGGATTTGAGGTTCATTAAAATGGCAAGTATAATCGTTCAGTCAGAATGTATAAAAATCGGTATAATCGTATAATTAGGTGTAAGACCGGATTTTGTCGCTACTGATTGCCTCTACAACGTGCTACTACTCCATTAGTAATCCCGCCAACTATAAACTTGTAGAATTGGCAACGCAGGTAAAACCTATATTGGTGACCATTACAAGGTACATCAATCAATATCGAATAATCTCGACAGTTCACAGTTGGATAAATTCGAAAATTGAGATATTTACTTGAAATGAAACAGCTGGCAACACAGGAAAAAGGATAATGACGTCAGTACTGGATAGACCAGTTTACCGCCGAACGCTATGTTCGAGTGTTCGATGAAGCTATGTTCGAGTGTTCGATGAAATTGTATGATATTCAAATGAAGATTTTCGAAGCATTACAGCATTATTTTATCAAATAATTGACGCATTCATATTATGCTACTACTATATTTGTGTTCTTGCCTATTGGGAAAACAAGTTTGTAGAAGGTATAGGACATGAATTTTTCAAGTGAAAATAAATTAAAAGACGGTTAATGAAAGAAACAGATTCATGAAAAGGCTGTGTGCATATATCCACCTCCAAAAATTCACTATATCATTTGTTCGGAAATATTCGATTCGATTATAGAATATCTTTAACCACATAAAACACAAGCTACATGTCACTATCACATGAAATCTAGGTACTTACCCACGGTAATATAATTTTGTCACAAGTTGCAACTAATGTGGCATTTAGAACTGTACTTATCGGGCCACACTGCCCTAATTCATTTTGAATAACATGAGTGACCCTATCCAAGTAGCTGTTCACCTGCTTTTCAACTATAGCACCAAACGCTGTTGTAGCCTAAAAACATCGATTATTCAGAATAAGCAAAAATGAGGTACTGGAGAATGTTCGGTATCAAGATTATTTATCATTTATCAACATTACAAACGTTTGTGTATGTTGAAGTTCTGGAAATACACCAAGTCGCAGTATAGATTCTTGCTATTTGTCTGTGTATTGAATATTTTTTATTTGGGGACGAGCAAGTGATGTATCAATGATTGAAATGCATAAGTTGAGCTGACATTCTTTTCACTATATACAGTGTGTCCATTTAGTGCGTAATTCTTCAATATCTCGAAAGCCATAACCTATAGAGAAAAACTTTGAGGGAAAAACTTTTTCAGCTACTGAAGTTGCTGATTTCAAAAATATTTTCAACATTACTGGGTGTTTCATGAAAGCGGGACGACTAGTAAGACGAGTTTTTTTTAAATGGAACATCCAGTATTTTTTATCCGGAATTTATTCCGCCGAGATTTACCTTCACATCGCTGTGAAAAAAATTGATAAACCCATTTTTACCACTATTGAAGAGTCATGTTGAATTGGGCATGGTATTTTCATTTGTTAAAATTTTGAAAATATTTTCGGCATACAGTAGTAGCAAGGTCTCACATACACCAATCCAGTAATTTCGCGAGATGATCCTTTACAGGGTGCTAAAATTTACATTTTGAATATTGTGAGATTCAGACGACGTTTATTAGAATTTTCCAAATAGAACACCCTGTATTTCTCATCACAGATTTATTTCGACATTATTCGCCTTTTCATCGCTGAAAAAAATCAAAATCGGTTGCGGCGTTTTCAAGTTATGAGTAATTTCCTTATGTTTATCACTATCTCAGAGCTACTTATAAGCCATGGTTCCTTTATATGATTTGAGTGTGGAAAATTGATCGTCACATAACATTCGAGGTTCTACATAGATCATTCAGGTATTTTTGCGATATGTGCATTGTCCAAATTTGAAATAGTCCCTAATCTTGTTACTTATAATTTGAATTATATGTACCGATGTGAAACAAACAAACATGTCAAGAGCAACGTCTGCGCCTTTAAAACAGTGGTCTGAAGGTAAAAATAGATTATAAATTGAATATCTGGTCCCATCATCTTTAGTGGCGCAAAAATCTTTAAAATTGTTTCCTATAGGTAAGTAATTCAAGATATATTAGATTTTGGCGATGTTATTTGTTATCTAAGTGAACAAATCATTTATCCATATAACATTCTAGGTAGTAAAATTGAATTACTCTCAATAAACGTACGAGAATCGATCATTAAGAAAATCAACTGATAAATCACTATACTTACTTCTCGCAAAATTTTATCCCCATCGGTACGCAATTTTTCTTGTGCATCTTTAATTTCACTTATCATTTTATTGATTGCATCTGCAAAAGAAGTAGAATTCATTTTCAAGTCTGTATCCAGCTGCTTTGCAATAACCTGAAATGAAGACAAAAACATTGATGAGAGATGTGACTTTTAGCTTCCTTGGTATGATGAAAAAATCAAAATTGAAGAAAATTCACAAGAGGTTTTGAACATAAAACTTTAACAGATTAGAAAAACAAATTTTTTTGTCTGAGAATATATACCTACAATATTTTAGCTGATCTGCATTCTAGTGGTGTAAGTTGGTGGATATTATTATCATCAATAAAAAATAGGTGATGAAGAATTTTGTAATTTTATAATGAAATACGAAAGAGTGTCCTGTTTCAAAGGAAAAACTTTGATTTTAACTCTCCTTTCACTACTCACCATAACTTTCTTTGCAGTGTCTTTCATTGGCACCAGAATTTTCTCGTCGTATGTATTTATATGCAGAATACTCAACTGAATTTCATGTCTCATATTATCGAACCTTTCGTCCTCCATCTGTTTTGTGAGTTTCTCTAATTCACTTGATATATAATTCAAGCTGAAATTTGTGAAATTATCTTTCAGCTGAAAATGAAAATATTATTTTTAAATGCGAATTATGGGTAAGCTAGTTGATTTCTTGGCGAATCCAAACGTATAAGGTGATAGGTACATAATTTTCATAGGAGTGGGTGATAATTTTTGTCGGTTACTCGACCGAAAAGATACATATAATAATGAAGATGATGGAAAGCCCTAATTTCGAGTGATAATGGAAAATGAAAAAAATCCACCGGACGACCCGTTGGCTCAATTGGCAGAGCGTTGGGCATGTAACCCACAGGTTGTGAGTTCGACCCTCACACTCCTATATTGTTCGAAGAACATCGTGCGTACCTCGGGAGGATAAGGAGAGGAGGAAGATGTTGGAATTTTGTTTATAATATAGCTGAGATATCATGTTTACCTCACCCTGTACACATCGAATTCAGTTCATGGAAGGACAATGGCACGCCATGTCTCAAAAACTAACAATTTTTTCCTGATATTCGAAGGTTGCCCAATAACTTTCCAAAGAATAACATTGAATTTGGTGCTATTCTGTATACTTATATTTCGGGTTCAGGTTTCTTTCCAAACATATATCCTGATATTTTCATCAGAATCATATAGACATACATTTCAAGTTACCTCCTTTGGCAGCCAGAAACATATACAAATTGTAGTTGTCAAAAAAATAAACTTACCTCCTCTTGGAATTTATCGAAATCAATGCCCACTTTGAGATCGGCCAAATTTTTCAGTGTTGCTTCGTTTGTAGGATCTAAAATGACGAAGTCTTTACCGACTATTTTGTCCAATTGGGATTTCATATCATCCAAAAACTTCGATACATTGAAATTTTGTTTTATTGTGTCTATATCAAACTTATCCTTCAGATTGAGGACATTGTAAATACTGTCATTTCTGTAACACTTTTCTAGAACACTTCCGAGGCTCACATTGAAATCTGAATTCGACAATTGCTGCTTGGCAACTCTTTCTAGTAACTCCATGACAGTAGAAGAACTGGGATTTTTTATTGTGTCACATACTACTCTATCAGTTGTTAGGCCTATTACCATTGTGATTAATGTTACCACGCCTATTACTATGGAAGATATGAACATCAGCGTGACAGCACTGAAATAAAATACAACCAAATATTATTTGAAATCATAACAATAATCTGTTACCTAAGCCGCTTTACAATTGCTTCAGCAAATAGCACAGAAGTAACTCCGAGTCGATCCAGAATTGATCAACATCAACGTTACTATTAACATTTAAACGGAGTTGTTACTACTCGTAGTTAGTTACTCGATGTTACCACTGACATAGACTAATATGTAGACCGCTAATGCCATAAGAAAAAAGATATACCACTCACGAGATCAAACTGGAGAACATGTATCAAGCGCATTTATGACCTGTCATATACCTTACTCATTCTTACTTATGTTTCCGAACACCGATAAACATGACTCGATGTCATGAACGACATTGCGCATTGAACATAATCGTTTACAGGCGAGCATTTTACCAAACATTTTCGGGTTGCAGAGATATGACATAGTATAGCGGTCTAGATAGTAGTTATGTTAGTGAGTGCTGGTCGCTGTGGCGATTGGAAAGCGGCTCTACCCAACACATTGAAGTAGGTGCGTTCGGATATTGAAAATTCGAACCCAGCGAGCACATGTAAATTTTGTATCACTCAATCACCTAGCTAACCGATCGTAAGGTACTTAACGAAAATTGATAGTTTCTATTGAGAGGTCAAAGGTCATCTGTCACCTTTCCATCCAGAATTTAAAATTGAATAATGAAAGCATTAAACATTCTCCCAAATACATGTTAGGAAATTGTTTCTGATTTCATCGGGATTGTTGATATATTTTTCTTCTGACTTCAATGGATGTTAGTATGAATAATATCTACTTCTGGTGATTCCTTCTGAATGAAACTCGTAGTGAAAATATGTAACTGAAATTGAACCCACTGAAGAATGAATGATTTCTCAATTGATCAATCAAAGAATAATAGGTTTCCTCTTTGGATCAGTCATCAGGAAGTCGACTACATACATCACATATTATACAAACAAATTAGTTGTCCATTCTGATAATAGTCATCGAATTATCCCGAAACATGTTGAATTTGAATTCTTGAAAAAGAACGCATAAATTCCCAAGAATGATAACTGTACCGAGAAATCCGCTTGCTCTGCTACTCGACAAGGAGCGAACAGATTACATATTGATAAACCTAGAATCTCAAGACTAAGAGATTCTAGGGAAATTTCGTGAATCGATTGTCAGCTGATGCAAGACAGACTGTTTCGACTTGCCATAAGTCTCATCAGTTGCACTGGCCAGCTGACAATCGATTCACGAAGGGTACCTCCATATATCAAACAAGTCGAAGCCCTAGAATCTCTTAGTCTTGAGATTCTAGGTTTATCACCATCTGTTAGTGGAACATTAAACCACTTTGAGAATTACAGGTGTTGCGATAGTCTACAGAATCTGACATGGATGTCTTTTCTGTAAGCATATAGACGTAGGGGTCTATATGCACGACTTACTCGCAAGGTATGATTGATGAATCTACCATACACCTTTGCACTTAAGCCACTAGATGGCTATGAAGGCTAGATCGTCCTTCTGCCCCCTCAGGGCTTCGACTTGTTAGATTACATATTTTTGTCTTAGACGAAACAGTGCTTTGGCTACGCTCATATGGACTGCTAGTAGTTAGTAGTGAACGCAGAAAGACGCCAACATTGCTACAAGGACAAACAGTAATCGCCTCCTTTACTAAGGCGAAAGTTGTAACATCGCATGCGCTTGCAATGACAGTTTCAAAATTCGAACGTCATCTTATGACACTTGAATGACACCTACCAAGAAAATGTTCGTTTTGGAATTATTGAGAAAAAATTGATTGATTGATTGTCTTTATTACCCCAAGAAACATTATTGTTTATAATAGGGATATATACAACAAAACATACATATAAAACATAATAAATCGAAACAATAATAATGGCACAATTATCGTTTTTCCTAAAAAAAAAATATATAATAAAATATAAAATGAAAATATCATAATCCATTACAAGTGATCGAATTGTGAATAATTAGTACTATTAAAGTTTACTGAGCAGATATTTCTTTAATTTCATTTTAAATTTTTATATTTTTCAACTCATTAGGTAAGGAGTTATACAAAATTATTCCATTATGGAATATTGATTGTTTACCAAAATTTGACTTATAATTATTTGCTATCAATAAATTGAATTGCCTTGTTTCATGGGCGTGAATCGTATTAACTTCATTAAAATTCAAATTCGATATTTTCAATTCCTTCCTGACAAAATGAATAAAACAACAAATTTTGAGTTTATACAGGCTGATTCACGGTGGATGGCACATTAGACGTTTCTGGTGAACCAGACAACGGATCATTTTGAAAATTCAATGTAGGGCATATTCGGACATTCTCTAGCCAACTAAAATATTTTCGACAATGCGGTGTTGCCGCTTCTATTAGAAAGCAGTAGCAACTTTGATTTTTCGAATAGAACGCTCTGTATTTCATTGCATTTTTAGATTCTCCCTGAAGAGCTGATTTCATCGATGTATCACACTTGGGGTCTAGCGGAAATGATTACAGAGATATAGGGTGTGAAAAATCGACATTTTTCAACTTTAGAATTTTTTCTGTGGCCTACGTAAATCACCTTGTATATTATTCGCGCCCTTGTTAACATAGCGTCCAAAAATCTTGTATCATTCAGGATCTCGCTCCACTCAAATGGACTACTTCTAGTCAAGATCGTTACTGCGCATGTCATCATTTCACAGTTGAATATGGTGGGAATTTTGAAATCCTATAGGTGCAATCTTCGAAAGATTATTTTAAATTTTATGTTCGAGTGTAAATAATTCATTGATTACTTGATTTTGATACAGTAAAATGAGAACGATCAGTGAAAATGAAAACACTTTTCATTGAAAAAAAAGTATATCTGAAATACACAAAATAGAAAACACTCAAAGACCTCTTTCAGTCCATAAAATCATCTAGAAAGAAATGGTATATTCATGTCAATCTACTTCATCTTAGCAGCCGCAATTTCATTTTTCGAAAAAGTTGCTGAATTCTTTGAAGCAGGAGAATGTCCTGCTGGGATCTTTTGTGATCTCAGCAGGGCATTTGACTGTGTTAACCATCAAATTTTATTATCAAAACTGTACAACTATGGAGTTAGGGGTTCAGCCCTCGGTTGGATTTCTTCCTTCTTAGTTAACCGACTGCAATACGTTAACATACCAGGGCAAATCAATTCTGAAACGAAATTAGTGAATATAGGTGTTCCGCAAGGGTCTATACTGGGGCCAATTTTATTTCTTCTGTACACCAATGATCTTGAGGAGTACCTAACAGAGTCCTATGTAACGATGTATGCTGATGACACTTCTTTGATACTATCGGATAAGGACGAAATCAAAACACATCAAAAAAGTGAACAAGTTTTGAAATCTATATATGAATGGTGTAGCTTAAATTATTTATATTTGAATGCCTCTAAAACACAAATCGTGAAATTCCACAACTGGCAAAAAACATGTCTACCATTAACCGTCCGCATCAACGATGTATCAATAAATAATACTAATGAAACAAAATTCCTGGGCCTGATCATTGATGAAAATATCAAATGGAAAAATCATTGTGTATTCTTAAGCAAGAGACTGAACTCTTTGTGTTATTTGTTCAGAAATCTCAAACAAGTCTTAGAGGAGCCTCAACTGTTATCCTTGTACCACTCTCAGGTAGCTTCAAGAATTAGATATGGTATATGTTTGTGGGGCAACTCAACTTCCACTCATGATATTTTCATCTTGCAAAAAAGAATATTGAGAGTAGTTGCGGGCGTTCCTTCAACCACCTCTTGTAGAGAATTGTTTGTTAAATATAATGTTCTGACAATATTTTCTTTATATATTTATGAATTATGCAACTACATATTTAAGAACAAAACTAAATTTCCTCTGAATAAAAACATTCATAACGCGAATACACGACAGAAAGAAAATTTTCATATTCCACATTATAAATACAGGGTATCACAAAACTCACCTGCATATATGGGTTTGATGATTTACAACAAATTGCCACAAGAAATAAAGAATACTAATGAGAGCAGGACGTTTATCACAGCCCTTAAAAAATTCCTAATTGAGAATTGCTTTTATTCATTGGATGCATATCTCAAGATGTGATTATCATGTATAGTACTAATTAGTATTTTTCTATTATTGACCATTCATATACATATACATTTATGTTATGTTATGTTTATGTAATTATACTGTGCCCTTGTCCTCTTATACTCTTTTTTGTTTTTGATGTTGTTATTTGTTGTTACTTATGTATACAATACTGTGACGTATCCTATATCATATGAGTGATCAAAAGGACCAATAAAGATTATTATTATTATTATTATTATTAGTCTGGTCTTTAGAAAAACTTAAACATCAACTGTAATTCATAAAACAATAAACCTACCTATGAAAAGATACGTTCTATCCAGTTTCTATCAATAATGTTCGCGAAGTATGCAGCGGTACATATTGCAGTTTGTAATCCTGTTGAGAGTGTTTTTGATTGCCGACCGGTTGCGACCACTTGGACAACACTTCGACCGCAGGGTTTTTGATTGATGACTGTATTGACCGATCTCCAAATGGTAACGTTTTTTATTGAAGACGAGGACCGACCGATGCAAGACCACATCGCCCAGGCTTTTTGATGGTAGATGTGGTTCAAGGATATAAAATATAACCTCAAAACAATCCAATTACTCGAAAAGTGGCAAGGGTATCTACAGTCTTCCAAATGAGTGCCTCAATTTGCTTATAATTTAACAAAAATATTGTTACATCACTGCATGATTCATTTGATCGAAATATTTCTGGTAGGCTGTTCAAAATTATTATTTCATCCACAAAATCTATCTCGAGGAATTCAATGACTGAGATGATCTATTAGTAATATCTGATTTTTAGGATATCATGAAATGTATTATTTTCGGTATATTATCGATTGGGCAGCGAAGTTCACGGTTCTTGATAGTAGAAGAGGCAAAGAGTCTAACTAGGGATTTACTCGAGCGTCGTGGGGACGTATCAGATTGTGAAGATTAGATGCGATAATACAAAAAAATATTTATATGATATATATGAATAGGTAAATAAAATTAGTCGAGCGCGTCAGATATTGAGAAGGGACGTTAAGTGAACCCTCAAGTAGCTCCTATTCAAAAGACTGGCGATTTGGACGCGACCAAAAATCATGATCAATTTTTGAAAATAAAAACAACAATCGTGACCTTGAAATACTCGAGCGTGTCAGATTATTATACAGACGCTTCATCTCAATGTCCTTGTCGTATCGACCCATAATCTGACAATTATGTACAGAAATTACCTTAATCTGGCGGTTGTTTTTTATGTTGACTGAATGTTATAACTAAAATATAAAATATACAGTGTGGGTCAGTTTTTTGTAGCAGGACTTCAACAGCTCGAAGAATTCATAATTTTGAGATGGAAGGCTCATGTAGATACAGGGTGGACCAATAGTGTGGCAAAGTGAGTTAACGGCTTTGCTGTTTGAGATAGATGAACAAAAATTCTAGAGATGGGTAGTCTCATGAGCAGTACATTTCAGAAATATTTTGCGTTATACAGGGTTACTCAAAAGTGCGTGCCGTATCAACGTTATACTTTCTCTTATAGCACACAGTGTTTATTGCATTTTCAGATTCCTCCTTATGAGCTGACAAGGTTTAAGCATTGATAACAATATACGAAGTGATACTTTTTTTTCAGTTTCCTACGTTACCACAATTACATACATAGTTACCAGTGGCTTCAAGCACCACACTTAATTGATGATTTTCGCTACTTCGGCTTGTGCAAATTGGCAGATTATGTTATTTCCGTTATTCGTGACTAATTTCTTTCAAAATAAGACAAAAATTAACCGCGCTTGCGAATCTACAGGTGACGATTTGTTTTTGGAACTTTGTGGCTCTCCCATTTCCTTATGTCACAATCAAATCGCCAGATTATTGGAATGCACACTTTTCTGCATATAATTAACGTACCATGACTTAATCATCTGAGGCGCTCGGAGTATTTCTGACGATCGATTTTTTTTACTAATCTTATCAGCTGCCCTTAACTTTTGACACCATGTAAAGGCCCAGGTATGGTGGGAGTACTTCACAAGGTCTAAGGATACCCCCCTTATGTTAATCTGCCGCGCTCGAGTAAATCCCGAAATCCCCGCTTCGGCTTCCCTACATGAGGTTTTTGTCGTTTTTTTACAAGCAACCGGTCGAATCCAATCGTATTTGTCATTGTGATCAGTCACGTGACATTAACGACCCGTTGGTCAGACCTGTCGGCAACCAAAAACTCTCTGGTTGTCAGCTGTATTGAGGAGACCGTAAACCCTCCTAGACACTGATATAACTACCTAGACCTAGACCGCTAGCGCTTCTGATCAATGCGCAGGCACCCTCAAACTGTCGATCATGACAACGAGTCATGTTTCTTGGTGTTCAGAAATATGAGTTGAGAGTGAGTTTGATATATGACAGGTCCTGAATGCACATGTTTTATGTTCTCCAATTCGATCTTCGGAGTGGCATTTGCGGTCTAGATAGTAGTTTGTCAGTGGTCCTAGTCTATGGTTCTAGCAGTCAGAGTCGAAATTTGAGTTGAAAAACGGTATGAAACATACAACATACAACTGCACTCAATTCACGTTTGAAGCCACTCATGAAATTACAAAATAAAACAATAAAGTGCATTTTCAATTTACCTTTTTTAGAATCAACTGCGAATCTATACAAACCTAAAGACTTGCTGAATCTAGTTTCATTATACAGGCTGATTCACGGTGGATGGCACATTAGACGTTTCTGGTGAACCAGACAACGGATCATTTTGAAAATTCAATGGAGGGCATATTCGGACATTCTCTAGCCAACTAAAATATTTTCGACAATGCGGTGTTGCCACTTCTATTAGAAAGCAGTAGCAACTTTGATTTTTCAAATGGAACACTCTGTATTTCATTGCAAAAACGTCCGAGTTGCTATTACATGATTAAATTGTATACTATAGCTTGAGTCTCACTCATTAACATTGATTATTATACTAAGTATACACAACCATTTCTCCAACCGGTCAAATTATTCGTAACAAAAAGCCGACGAGCCACCCCCTCTCCATGTGAATAAATCAGGTTGACCAGAAAAAATCCTGTTTGCGGATTTCAAATGATTATTGAAACGACTGTGGAGTCATAAGCCTCAATGTATTGATGAAATAAACCTCTGGTGCGCTCACTCTCCATTTGTGTCGTCAGCCTGGTTCTTGATATAAAAAATTGAATTTCAGACGAGGACGTGGGGTTCACATATTGAATGTTAGATGGCGTGATTCCTAGAACTTACGATCAACATCACTTCTATCAACCTTGATGCGGCTAAATCACAAAATGTATTCGCTACCTTCATTGGTCACAATTCGGTCACAATTGCCACATTGATGCCTGTAATTTTGATACGGCACCAGACAAACTAAACTCACCCACGCCATGTTATGTTTATCGAAGTAGGCGAAAATCAAGGAATTGTAAAACAGGAAAGGATTGAAGTGCGTACACCAGAGGTTTATTTCATCAATCTCAATGTCATATTTTCAACATGTTATTTGATAAAGGGTGATGCGATTTCACGATCCATGACATTTAAATAAAAATGACTTCATTTGTCAAATATTGACAAGTAAGGTATTGTTGTATTCAGAATGTCCTTTTCGATCAAAATGAGAAAAAATATGCAGGATGTCCTATTTAAAAATCGAAAGTTGGACTCATTTCCAGTCAAACCGGAAGTGAGGCAAGGCATGTGAATATGACAGAAATGTTAATTTAACTACACAACCTCCAAATTTCGTTTTCCCATCTTCAATGATAAAAAAGTTATAGAGGTGAGCCACTTTGAAAAATCACCCAGTATAGGAAATATATTTGGTATGATAAGAGCATACTTTGAGAACGAATATTTTGTTCGTGTAATCTCACGCGAAGAGGGTATTTCGCGTTCTCGATACATAACGCGGTCAAATTTGGCAGCCGTTACCAATAGCAACGGTCGCCAAACCAAAAGGCACTTCAGAATTCGACAGTTCCAAACTACGACAATAACAAGGTTGTTATCATTGTCAGACCATATTTGCGTGACTGGTAATTAAACTGAACTGATATTGTTTATAAAGCAATGAAATATTTATTTTCAATTATCCAGTTCGATAATTTTGACGATTGCATTAGAAAAGAGTGTGTATACCATGGCCGCGATACTTTTTTTGCGACCTCAAGATTATATTGTCTCGTTCGCTCTTCTTCAGCACACCAAAAAGGTATTTAGCGGCCTAGGCATTCAAATAACTATTCTTGCGATTATTGTTTCATAAACACCACATTCTAATTATCGTTTAAATTTCGGAAACACCTAGTATGTCATGGAAGGTCAAGTCAACATCATCCATATTTTTTCAGATGGCCATGTTGTTTCACGATATTTTATCATCAATTCTTTTCTACTCGTTAAATCAAAACAAAAACACCAGTTGAAAAAAACTTGTGTTTCTCTTTAGATTTGTTGTCATTTGATGTTTTCGATATTCTTCATCTCTATATTGTGTCTTTGCTATTTTAATATTATCTGCTTACCACATTAAAAACTGATTCCCGGCGCCCTTATTGCAGCAGTTATCACTATATCCATCAGGCCTTTTTCCACAAATGCCACAAATCAGACCTAGGGCTATGCAAACAGTAACTGATAGGAGGATGCAGCTGATCGCTATACTTCCATAATATCTGTATGGGCCATAATTTTTGATGTAATCATGGACAGTTGCAGTGTTGATATCTTTTATTGTTTTCTGAATATCGGATATTAAGTCCGTTACATTGGATGCATATTTTTTTATTTCGTCACCTATAATGAAAAATTGTATTTTCATGAACATGGGACACATGGCATCATATATACACTGTGTCCATAAAGTCACCCCCCTAGTTAATTTTTGAACGGCTAGGAATTTTGTTTGGCTCTTTTTGCTCCCATGGTAGTTCCGCCATTTTGAAAGATTTTTTTACATGAAATAGGAGGTCGAAGACGTCTTTCAGTTCTCTGTACATCAGAATTTCAGGCAAAAATATCCAAAACAAGATGGCGGATGATAATGTTTAACATCTCATACCAGTATCCTTTAGACTAGATGGCCATCAACGTGCCCTCGTACAATCTTCAACTCTCTAGAAAAGTTCTCAATCCAGAAAAATAATGGAAGTGTTATTTTATCGCAACAGTGTGGACAATTTTTCCTCACACTAGTGCGGCTATAGCATATATGCTATTATCGCAAAATATAAGTGGTTGGTGATGGGATATGGGAGTTTAAGCTCGTCGGTCATAGTATCAAGTATATTATAATAATAATAATAATAAACGCTTTTATTGATAGACAGAAAGAACAAAAAAAATACATTAGAGTAAAAAATAAGTCTATCTATCAAATGGCAGAGTTAGCTCTTGAACGTTCCCACAAGAAAGGAACGAGGAAGTGCTTTCTTCCACTTTTTGTTCAGAATCATCCATAAAATTACACTATTTATTGTGAAAATGAAGAAAACTTCAAAAATAAAAATTGATTGTTATAAAAATCCCCTATTGACCAAAGATTAGTTTGTAATAGTCGAAGTGACAGACACATCGTTACTGTCATTTTCGATTCAGTGAAATTGCCACAATGGATCATACATGTGATCAAAAACTTTCGGGGCGATATAGATGCGTTATTGCCAACGGAGTCTTAAGAAAGGTATGAGAAGCAATACAACGTTTTATTGAATGTGGCAACAATAAAAAAAATAAAAACACCAAATAAAGAAGTATTTTTGGTTCATTTTCCAGAAATGTCTGAAATCTAATGGCAAAACACCTTATGGGCATGCTGGCTTCTGCAATGAACCTACAAAATGCGTCAAACTGTACATTCACAACAGCTATCTTGTTACTTGTTCCTATTTGGATGAATAACTAATTGGACAAATCAACAGCAGTCGAGTGGGAGAAAGAATCACTTCCCGCATTTGTTATAAAAATTACTATTTCCCGATTTTGGTGAGACTGGGAAAATCGAAGGACAGACACCTGAAATAAGGTATAATTGACTACAATGTCATTCGAATTTTCTTCCAGATGTCTCCCTTTCGACATTTTTCTGGATAGAGAATTTTTCTAGATGCCAATTGAGAGTTGAAGATTACAAGAGAGCACGTTAATAGCCAGCTAATCGAAATGATTCTGGTATGAGATTGTATCCTCATTTTGTCAGGACGATCACGAAATCTAAATATGTACTTGCACTTGCACAGATATTATATTACACGTTAAAACTCCACTTGAAATACAACATGCCACCAGCCATTATGAAAATCAACTACTCTCGCCATAGTATACTTACTGAGCATGCGTGTAGTTACAAAAACATTGTAGTTTAATATTTTCACGTGAAAAAATTATGCAGGTACATCATCCACAATTTTGTTTTGAATCCGTAACATAGGCTTTACCGTATTAGTTTAACTTAGGCTTTAGCTAGTTCATGTCAAAGTCAAAATCATTCAATAGTGTCTCATATCATGTGTCAACATATACCGCCAAGGAAGACATGTGAAAAACGCATGATAAAAAGCAACGAGGTGTTTTAATGAAAGTCAATTAAACCCGAACAAGTATAATTATTACAACTTCAAATAGAAAGTATGTAACAGAATCAATATTTCTGTCAGAAATTCTTGTGTCGTATAAAGAATTAAAAGACAGGTCTCGCCATTTTATTTGAAAAAACCTCACAAAATGAAAATGACGTCTAAAATTCTGGTGTCGTATAGAAAATTGAAAGACGTTTCAATTGACTCATCACTCGACCCCTCCATTCCATTTTGAAAAATCCCCCAAAATGGCCTCGAGGCGCCATTTTTAAAAAGCATTTTTTATCGAAATAAAAATGTTGCACTTGAACTATCACTGGAGCAGAAAAAAATCAAAAAAATCCCAGCAGTTCAAAAGTTAACTAGGTGCCGGGTTACTTATGAACACAGTGTATTAATGATGATAATAATGCTGATATTTTGAAAGAAATATTGAAAAACTTGTATTTGCAAAAAAAATAACAATGATTATAATATACTATTTTTACATTGGCAATAATATCTTTTGTTGGTAAGTAGGTATACTTTTTGAACACCAGCAACTATAAAATGGCATGTTCGATGATAACTGTGACTTCTATTCCTAGGTTCTAATCCTAGATTCCCTGGAAGTTATTCATACTATTTTCTTGTAGCTTATTAGTAGTTATTTTCTATGCTTCCTAAAATACTAAAATTATCGTACTGGGGTACTTATTACTTTCAAACCTAAATTATAATCTGTTTAGTGTAGAAGGTATCTTCTCATTTCTGTTGTTTCCTTTGTAGGCTTCCTCTCCTCTGTCTCTTACTGAATCGAATTATTTACCCTCTGGGTTGTCACGTATTTGCTTCAAATATCAAATCTTCTACATGATTGTGTACAATGATTATAATTTAGTAGGTAGGTACTAAGAAAACCATTTTTCGGATTTCTTTAGGGCCAATAAGGTAGCTACATTCTTCTTTGATATAGTAAGATGATTTCTGAGATAATCAATATTCTGTATTTGTTTGGTTCGTTCGAAAATCGAAATCTCAGATGTTATTATAATTTTTCATTAATTTTGATAATTACTTTGTTGCTTATTTCTGACAGCATGAGAGATATTCAGCAAGAATCTGCATGCCATGGCGTGTGACGTCAGAGGACATGGGGTTTTTGTATCTCTTTGCCTGCTATGCTGATTTAATACTCCTTGTCTCTATTTACTCTCCTTGATCACTACCGACGTGTGGCCCAACGCACACCAATTTTTTTCATAGAAGTCTCTACTTCACCGTTTGATACATTATATTCCGGTTGTGTTCCAAAGATTATTCCACTCATTTCAAAATAGACGTTTTTGATTGGTTGAAAAATATCTGTGGAGACATGAAGTTTTCGTTTTTGTGTTTCGGCTATAGATTGGCTGCTAGATACCTAAATATGCTGTGTTTTCGATTTTGTATTCCGCCTCCTCATTGGTAGATCAAAATATAAGACAAGATAATTTACTTGCATCAAGCTGTCATGGACATAGATGTCATAATATTTTCATATTCAGGGATAAATAGCACTCAACACTGAACTTCTGACAAAAAAGTCATATGCACTGAATTTTAATTTGTATCAAAGAATTTTAAACCATAAGTTATATTTTTATATCTTAATACATCATTATTCTATTCGATTTGAGAGATAATGTCAATTCTCAATTTCAGAGGATTTTGATTTTTCATGCTCTCTTTTTGGATATTCAACAGATATAATTCAATGTTCGACGTGGCAAATAGCCAGGAAAGTAGTTCTTTTCTGTTGAATATTCAGAATGATATTATATGCATATCTTCATATGAAGGAGAATACAAATTCTCTACTTCAGAAGATTTTGTTTTCAAATTCTTATCGTGTGTGTTCAATAGGTGTAATTCAATGTTCGTCGTGGCATATAGCCAGGAAAGTAGTTGTTTTCTGAGAAAGAATTAATATTTTCATTACATGGAGAATGCGAATTCTCAATGTATTTCTTTATATATATCCATTTTTTTGTGTTCATAAATATATCTGAGAATATTCCTTTTCAATTTTAAACCATATATATGATTGCATTTTGAAGAAACATTTTTTATGTCAACATCAACCTAACCTCTCGAGTCCAAGTCGAGTGCCATCGCTAACCTAAATCACATATTCTTCAACTTGACCTCTATCACAGTTACAAACACTAGCGTCTAGAAAAAGGACGCAGCAAATATTGCGAGCGAGCCGTGCGGAAGCAAGTAATACAGAAATTTTCCGGCCTCTGACGCCACGCGTGACAATATTTGGTGCGTCCTATTTCTAGTTGCTATCTATGTATCGTAGTTGCGCTATGCGCTCGTGTGGTTGCCAAGCAACATAATTTGTTTCTTAAGATCGAAGGGATTTGTATTTCGATAATCATCAATAAACTTGTTGTATTACATAGGAACATAAGAGTCTCCCCAACTTTAATCAACAGCATTGGGAAGATCCATTTCGTTGTTTCAAATATTCCCTCATATGGCTATGGCTATCTGTCAAACTGCCGATAGGTAACATTCTTTGGATTTGTTGCCCACGGATCTTTTGGTGAATTAATTCTCGAAGAAGATACGCTGTAGGATCTTCATAAAAAAATATGAATATTCGCACTAACTTTTCGTCCAGTAGCAACCAAATCTCCTATATTCGATTGATGGTTTTTATCCCGATAAAAGTACTCAATCAAAACCAAATATGAGTTTAAATTTTTGAATTTGACGCCAACTGTAAGAATGAAATCTCATTTTCAAATTTTGCAGAGGACATTTTGTTCATGTTACCAATAGAATGATATTTAATTTGATATTCCAACCAACTTGGGCCACTTTCTGCGAAAAATGGTATATTATTTAAACTGTGACATACTAGTATGACCGACTGTCATGTTGCTTGATTTCCGGTTATCGAGAAAGTTTTGTAATCATTATGGATACGTCTACGACATTTGTTGTAATATTAGTGGAATACTGTGTCTGTGTTTTTTCTTCTGAACGATATTTCAGAAATATGGATGAATTACCAAGAATTGATATATTAGATTTTTGGGTATACTTGGATATGTCCCTTGAGAATGAGAATAGTATCCCCATTCAGATTATTTAGGTACGTCTAGATATTAGATGGACACAAATATTAGTGTCGGAGAGGCCTGTATTGTACTCGTTGAATTCTATGAAAAAAAAATCAATGGTTATTTGTAGCATACATATAAAACACAACTCTCATGATACCCTGAATTATTAGAACACTCTGTTAATTTTTTTATATGCAAATTTGACAATTTTCTGTGTCTTGCCCCCAATAGGCTACCCTGTATGTATGGTTAAAAATTTGCATTTCAAAATACCAGCACACAAACGGATTTTGCATCATTCGCCTCACCTGCCTTATCGACCTGATGAATTGCGTCACCAAGGGTAGTATTCAATTTATTCTTGATGTCCGATTCAATTTTATCCAATTTATTCATTCCCTCCACTGCAGCATCTCTCATTTCCTTGGTGTTAAATTTGTCTAGTTCTTCAATAGTTGGTTTCACATCAGGAATCTGCAATTAGTCAATCTCTATCAGGGCTTACTGAAGTCATCAGTAAGTTACCAAAGAACACATTTTTCACATTTTCCAAAAGTGATAATACCTTGTTTTTCCAATCATGGACAAAAGAAACGCGAAGTGAAGAGGTTGCTGCTACTCTAAAATGATTTTCAATTTGTAGGCATTTGACTTTTGAACCGAAAGTTTCGCCCGCGGTGCATATTTATTTGGATATCATATAACCTGATTTTTAAGTTGAAATGAAAAAAGTATTGTTACGTTATTCGGGTACAGAAGCGAACACGACACTATTTGTTCTCGAACTGAATTATTTTAACTAAAAAAACACTAATTTATATTGAACGTATAACTACTATTTATGTAAAACGATTTATATCACGCGGTATATGACTTTCTCTCTGACACTCGCTGCTGGACTGACTGACAGCAGTTGTCCGGCCGTTTATATATGAGATCCCTTGGTAGGCTTTGATTGGAGAACGTTTTCGAATGATCTTCCGTCTCCTTCTTTTTGTTCTATTTAGAAGCTTCTTAGAACAATACCTCTCTCTAATTGTCCCATCGATTGTTTCCAGAACATTCCAGAATCTTCTGTCACGTTATTTGTCACCGCGGCATATCTTGAGTGTTCGGAAATATGCTGGTGCATGAAGGAATCATTGGGAGGTTGGAGAACAATCTGGGATGTGTGTTACAGGATGATCGTTGTACTCCTGCCTTCCTGCTGATGTTTCTAGAGCCCCTCCAAGGAAAATATCATTATACTGTCCCCTCCTTAAAACGCATTCCTCCTGGAATGCACTCTGATCGATATTAAGAAAGGGACAACTGGTTTCATTTCTACAACGTGCAGTATGGTAAAAATAGCATGGCAGTGTCACTCTTGGAGTTTCTTTGAAGTTCCAGCAGCATACCATATTTCAACTCCGGTGAATCTAAATACAACCTCCAGCATGTTCCCTTCAACTCTCCAATTCAAGCCATCCAGACCACACGCCAGCTTTGGAACAGCCATCTTCTGTATGTCCTTCTCGAGTATGGCACTTCGTAAGTCGACTAGTGTCTCCCAGAGGTCCTTGTAAGTGGGTTTCTCAGAAGATCTTCCTTTCGTTATAAGATAAAACAGATACCTTTTTCCTTCAGGGCTGATATCTTCTATTTCTAGTGCTCGACCGACGGAGGGACCCTGTTGATGAAGCTCTTCTAACTTCCCGAATGGTGCTCTTTCTTGGTGACGCCAAACCTTGCTTTTGATGAGCCACTGTCAATAAATTCGTCAAATGTAAGCTCCTTTTCTTCCGGACATACTTGTGGAACTTGTTGACCTTGTGTTCCCTCAAATGGTGCTAATCTGTTGAAATGAACGACTCTTGGTTTGCCACTGGGTTCTTTAGTGACGCCAAACCTTGCTTTTGATGAGCCACTGTATGTCCCAATAAATTCGTCAAATGTAAGTTTATTTTCTTTCAGACATACTTGATGAACTTGTTGATCTTGTGTTCCCTCAAATGGTACTTATCTGTTGAAATGAACGACTCTTGGTTCGCGACTGGGTTCTTTAGTGATGCGGTAGATGACATCGTTGATCTTCTTCTTGACGGTATAAGGTCCTTCCCAAGATCTCTGTAGTTTTGGACAAATACCTCGTTTCCGTTGTGGATTGTAGAACCACACCAGGTCTCCTTCTGCGTATCGTGCACCCCCAGCTCTAATGTCGTATCGGTCTTTCATGCGATCGCTGGCGATTTTCAGATTAGAACGAACCAATTCATAAATATCGTTTATCTTTTTCATCAGATTCGTAACGTAATCTTTCCCCACTATGTCCTCACCAGGTCTACATCCGAAGACCAAGTCACATGGAAGCCTCATCTCTCGTCCAAATAGAACCTTCGCCGGAGTCTGTCCTGTAGATTCCTGTACTGCAGATCTGTAGGCCATCAAGAAGAAAGGAAGATGTTGATCCCAGTCTTGTTTGTGTTGATCTACGACTTTGCAGAGATACCTCCCTATGGTTCGGTTCATTCGCTCTACCATGCCATCTGACTGTGGATGCAATGGAGTTGTTCTTGTCTTCTTGATTCCTAACTTCTCTCTCATCTTCTTAAACATTTCACTCTCGAAGTTTTGGCCCTGATCAGAGTGAAGTTCCAATGGCACCCCAAAACGACTGATGAGTTGAGTCATTAGACCATCGGCGACAGTTACGGCCTCCTGATTAGGGATCGCATACGCTTCTACCCACTTGGTGAAGTAGTCCATGCAGACTAGGATGTATTTATTTCCATTATCAGTCACTGGAAACGGCCCGCAATATCCATGGCAATCCTCTTGAAAGGGCTTCCAGCATTGTACTGTCTCATGGGTGCCCTTAGTTTACGATGAGGCCCATTGCTAGCAAAGCACACGGTGCATTTACGGCACCACTCCCTGACGTCGTCACTGCAGTTCACCCAGTAAAACCGCTCTCGTACCCTCTGCAGTGTCTTCACTCCTAGATGTCCCCCTTAAGTTCCATCATGTACATATCCGAGTACTTTCGACACTCGGCTCCTAGGAATGACCAACTGCATCCGATTATCCCACCCATCATCGCTCTCGAGATTCCTCTTGAGCAGGTCATCTTCTAATACCAAGGAGTCCCATCGACTCCAGTACGCCTTCAAAGTCTATGAAGATGGTGCTACTTCTTGCCAAGAAGGTCGGCGATTCGCTTTCTTCCAATCTCGAAGCTTCCGAAGTTCTGGGTCATTTATTTGCTCTTGCTTGATTGCTGCAGGTAACCAATCTTCATTAACAGCGGTGGTTCTGTAGAGGGCTGTTTCCTTATCCTTCAAACGACTACAATGTGAGCACTCAGGTGGACATGGCCTTCTGGACAATGCATCTTCATTCTATCTCGAAGTCATATTCCTGGAGCCTCTCGATCCTACGAGCTACTTGGCCTTCGGGGTTCTTAAAATTCAGAAGCCACTTCAATGCAGCGTGGTCCGTCCTGAGTAGGAATTTTCTTCCATAGAGGTACTAATAGAAATGCTCCACTGATTTCACCATGGCCAATAGTTCCCTCTTGGTAACGCAGTAGTTTCGTTCTGCCATCGATAGCACCTTGCTGAAGTAACCGATGGCTCGCTCTCGCTCATCTTGATACTGCGAAAGGACTCTAGCAATGCCGATATTACTGGCATCTATGTCAAGAATGAATCGTCCTTGTGGAAGTGGATACCCACGAATTGGTGTCGTGGTCAAGCGTTCCTTCGAGCATCAGGCTGCATTCTGGAGCCCAGTGGAAGGGACGTGCTTCCTCGGTGAGACGAGTCAGAGGCTTTGCGATATCCGAAAACTCAAGAAAGCTCCTGAGTTGATGCTTATCTCTTGATACTGGCCATTGCTTCACTGCTCGTATATTCTCAGGGTCGACTTCCACACCCTGTCTTCCTACGACGTGTCCCAAGTAGTTGACACGTTTCTGCAGCAGATAACATTTCTTCAGATTGAGTGTGAGGTTTGCAGCCTGAAGTCTCTTGAAAAGTTCCTCTAGGTTAGCCAGATGTTCTTCAAAAGTTTTTCCGATCACGATGATGTCAAATAAACCCCTCAACCCCCTTAAAGTTACAAACTATATAAAAAACCTTTCTTTGTAGAAAATTCGTCAATTAAAATATGCTGCTGATGATGGACTATTGATAGTCCGAAACATGTACAGATACTGATTATTCAGTCGATAAAATTTGTGGAGATGACTTTGTGTGTCTTGTTTATGAATCTATTCACTCCACTTTGAGATACCATGGACTTTTACCATAGATTACTGTTTATTATGTCACTTGTTCGATGAATTGATGTTCATCATACAGGGTGTGGAAAATTCTGAATTAAGGAAACCCAATTACAAATATATTTATATGTTTTTATCTAGAAGAAGATGCAAATTCTCAATTTCAGAAGATCTTCATTTTCATATTCCTATTATGTGTATTCAATTTCTACATGATAATGGTACAAGAGATAGAGATAAGTTACACTTTCTATTTAAAAGACTCCAAATCGGCCAAAATGATTCAAATTATACAGGCATCAAATTATACAACAAATTAGACGTGAATTATCAATGTATTTCTTTATATATACAGGGTGAGTCAGTTTTATGTAGCAGGACTTCATCAGCTGAGAGAAGACATTTTGATGAAAATTCTATGTTAACATATATTCGTGGGAGCTTCGTTTCCGATATACAGGGTTTCAAAGTTCAAGATTTTTTTTGTGTTTTTCCAATTTCCTCCTACAATTTCCAAAATAATGAATTGAGATTTTGGTACACCTAACACACTTTGGAAACGCAATATTTAGGGCTATCGAGCGTTCTCTAATACCTACAGGATGATACACTTTTGAGGGTCGTACTCGAGTTAACCCTCTCGAACTTTTTTGCGTACCGCCTCTAATTTCTAAGAAACATTGATTTGGATTTTCTCTTCAATCCGGATGCTTTTTGTTCCCTTTTGTTTATTCGAAAATCGTTTGAGTTTCAAGATAGATGCAAAAAATAATTTACTTGTAATGAAACTGCATTTTACGAGTCCGTATTTTTGTAGCAGGGTTTTAACAGCTTGAAACACATTTTTTAAAATGAAAACCTCATGTAAACATATATGTGTGGGGGCTTCGTTTCCGATACACGGGGTTCCAAAGTTTGAGATTCTTCTTGTGTTCTACAAGTTTTCTCTTACATTTTTCAAAAAATATGAATTGAAATTCGGAATACCTGGTACACTTTGGAAACGCAATATTTGAGGCTATCAAGCATTCTTGAATACTTACAGAATGATACACTTATGGGGTCGTGCCGTTACCACCGATACAACAAGGCCAGCAGACTCTGACGTAAACAGCTCGTGACGTCACCAAGAGAGGCCAGTGTTTTATTTTATCGCTTGTCGACTAACGCGTCAGTTCTTGTTAATTCATCGGTGATTCACGTATGTTTTTGA